ACCCCTCCCGAGTGACCCCCATCTGTCGCCTAGAGCTGGACGACCATTCTCCGCCGTGCAACTGCTCGCCCACGCGCCTGTGCACCGCCCTGATGCAGGGCATGTACTACCTGTACCCGTTCACCATCGAGTACCAGATCCTGGCGTCCACCATGCTCTTCGTGCTCTGGAAGAACATAGGGCGCAGCGTGGACGGCGGGCGGCCCCCGCGCGCTGGGCTGCGGCTCCGCGGCGTCCTGGCGGGCTCGGCGCTGGGCCTGGGCGCGCTGGCGGCCACCCTGGGCGTGGTGGCCGTGTACCTGGTGCACATCGGCCGCTCCAAGGCCAAGAGTGAGGCGGCGCTGGCCATGTTCTACCTGTACGCCATCGCCCTGCTGCTGCTCATGGGCGCCGCGGGGCTGCTGGGCATCCGCATCTACAGGGTCGACGAGAAGTCCCTGGACCAGTCCAAAAACCCGGCTCGCAAGCTGGACGCCGACCTGCTGGTGGGCTCGGCCTCCGGCTCCTGGCTCCTCTCCTGGGGCTCCATCCTGGCCATCGCCTGTGCCGAGACCCGGCCGCCCTACACCTGGTACAACCTGCCCTACTCGGTGCTGGCGATCGCAGAAAAATACATCCAGAACCTGTTCATCATCGAGTCCGTGCACCGCGAGCCCGAGGGCCTCCCCGAGGACGTCTGCACGCTGCGCGTGGTCACGGTCTGCAACGGGGCCGCCCCCGCGTGCTCCCGCCCCGGGGACGCGGGGGCGGCCCTGGACGCCAAGGGGAGTCCGCGCCCACAGCCAGGCCGAGGTGAAGCGCAGCAGGAGGCTGCGAGGAGGGAGCGGGGCGGCCCGAGTTCCGCCCGCCCGGCGCAGTTCTTGGAGGGCAGCGCCAAGAAAAGAGTCCTGAGGAACATCACGGCGTTTCTGTTCCTCTGCAACATTTCGGTAATCTGCCTCCAGCGGTGATTATACTTTTTAAATCGATTCATCTCTCTTCCTTGCGCTTTTCTCAAAAGGCATGGAAGTCGCTTGTAATGCAAATAAGTAAAAGGTTAAAAGTAAATCTCAAGTTGGAATCCAGCCTGGGGAACTCAGGAGACTCAGCCAGACCCTGAGAGAAAAGGGTTGGGGATGTAGCTCAGTGCGAAGGCTCGGCTGGAAACTCAGTACTCCCCACGCTCACACTTTGCAGAATGTGGGTCTGCGCCCCTGCAGATCAGATGTGGACACAGCTCCCAGAGCCCAGCTCTGGGCAGACCCTGTTCTTACGTTTAATGCATTTATTGAGCGCCTGCTGTATGCAGGAAGTATGTTGGGGCACAGCTGTGGACCCAGGAGTTACAGAATAAAAAGAGAGACTCCCAATCATGATGTGGGCTGCTTTTTTGTGAGTGGCATATCCCAGAGTGGGGGCAGCAGCTCGGATACTTGGAATCTGGGAGAGGAGAGGGTGGCAGGCAGCTGTCAGCCACGCGGAGTGGAGATTTGACGTTAGGTCAGGGAAGGGGCCGGGCCTAGCTGTGGAGCGTGGACCAGGTTCGAAGACGTGGGCAGGAGGGAGAGGTGGCCAGGCAGGTGCAGGTGGGCATGGAGGTGCAGAGCCCAGGCTCACTGATGGACGCCGAGGTGGGTGATGTTTGAGAGTAAGAGGGACAGCGCCAGGTCACCTGGGGGAAGATCCTGCTGAGAAGATGGGGTAGTGGGGAAGGCAGGTGCGGTTGAGGTGGGCTTCGTTTGGCCCAAGTGGCCAGTGCAAAACGTGCATCTGGAATTCCTGAGAGTGTCCAGTCTGTAGGAGGAGATGGCAGCCAGAAGCAGGTTGCTGCTATCTAGAGCCAGGGCTGCAGGGGCCCTGTGAGTGGAGAAGGGCCAAAGAGGAAGCCAGCAAAGGGGACTGGGAAGAGCTGGTGAGGCAGTAGGATGAGGGCCCCTCAGCCGCAGAGGCCAGGGGAGAGAGACAGACGGGAGATGCAGCAGGGGAGTTCTGCGTGCAGATGTAGAAAGGCCACGTGTGTCAGTTACCCGCCCTGGTGTAAGCCCATTCCCAAATGCTGGAACGTAACAGCCGCGCATGTTTCATGGCTTCACCCTTGTGCCGTGTAGCTGGGGGTCTGCTCAGAGTCCTTCCCAGGCTGAGAGCAGCCTGCCAGCCCTCACGCCTTTCAAGGCCTCGATCTGGGGAGCTGCCTGGGACCACTCAGGTACCTGCTGGACGGGGTCCTGGGGACCCTGCTGGCTGCAGACCCGAGACCTCCGGCTCCCTACCATGTGGCCTGTCCATGGGGTGGCCCAGCTGGGACAGCAGCCTCCTTTCATGCAAGAGGGGAAGGGTGATGTGGACAGCAGATCCTTCTGCAAGGGGGTGACGTCCTGGAGGCTTCAGCCTCCACTCAAGGGGAGGCAACTGCACAGAAGGGGACCCCAGGAGCTGGGGGTGCCTGGGGTCAGCTCGAGGCTGTATGTCACGGCCTAGGAGCAGAGAGGGCTACAGAAGCTTGCAGTGGGAAAGAGAAGCAGGCCCAGGCCAAGCCCAGGAGCCCTGGCAACTTCAGAGGGGCTGGAGTGAGAAGGGCAGAAAGTGAGAAGGGCCTGGGCCCAGTGTGTGGGGCCCATGGGGCACAGGGCATCAGGTTATGGGTTTTGCACATTTAGTTCTCCTTTCATTCTTATCTAGGCCGGCTCTGAGAGGCGTTAGCATTGCCATCTTACAGATGAGGAAACCAGGGCTGGGTGAGCACTGAAGGGACAGAGAGAAGTGCACAGGTTCAACGTGGCACATGCTCACAATCTCAGCACTGAGGGAGGCTGAGGCAGAAGAATCGCAAGTTAAAGCCCAGCCTGGGCAACTTAGTGACTTAGTGAGACCCTGTCTCAAAATAAAGAATAAAAAACGGCTGGGCACAGAGCTCAGTGAAGCTCCTGGGTTCAGTCCCCAGCACTGGGGCAGGGGCGGGGTTCATTAGGGAGTGGATGCAAGGAGGGGCGGGTGAGAGACAGGGAAGGCACCGGATCTGCTGGTTTCCGTGGAGACCAGGGATGGTGGGTAGCATCATTAGCCGACAGATGTGACTTGGGCCCTGGAGTCCAAATCAGCGCTGTGGTGCCTGGGTTGAGTGGGGCTTCCTGGGGGGGGTGGGAGCTGCTCGCCGGACAGATGTTTCTCTTCTCTTGCAGCTGTGGATCCCGCCTGCCTTTGGCTGCCGTCCCGAGTATGACAATGGGTTGGAGGAGGTCGTCTTTGGCTTTGAACCCTGGATAATTGTGGTCAACCTGGCCATGCCCTTTTCTGTTTTCTACCGGATGCACGCAGCCGCCTCTCTCTTTGAGGTCTATTGTAAGATATAGACTGGGTCCACAGAAGACAGACAAGCCGGCCAGCAAGGGAGCTCCCTGGAGCCCTGGGAGTGGCTTCGCTGGGCAAACACCACCTGACAAAGGCGAGGCACCTTTTGTCTGCATTGGGTGTGTCCGAGGGCTGCCCCCATCCACGCAGGCCACAGGCAGCAGAGTCCACCAGGGGGCTACAATCTGTCCTCGTTTGCCAGTTCTTATCAAAGCCAAACAATTTTACCTCCCTCCAAATGAGACTCTTTGTTTTAGAAGAATATGATCCAAGGTTGGGCAAAAATTTCTCCAGTTTGTTTTTCTAACAAAGCACTTTCTGTTTGTCGTTTATCCCGTGACAATCATTTTTTTCTGACCATCTGCATACAATGAATTAAAGTTGATGAATGGAGACAAACACGTAGTTTATATTTGAGCTTCTGAGTAGGTTTAATTTGTGAACAAAGTGACTTTTGCCATCTAAATATACCTGAGATTTGGCACATTGCTATGTGTGATCATTTTGAAATTTATTTATTTATTTATTTATTTTTTGGTACCGGGGATCGAACTCGGGTCCTTGCGCTTACATAGCAGGCATTGAAACCACTGAGCTAAATCCCCGGCCCTTGAAATTTATTTTTAAAAATAAAATTTACTCTTCTGTTTTCACTATAAATCTATACTTGTTTATTATAGAAAATTTGAGGATTTCAGAAAATTAGAAAAAAAATCACCCATGATACTATTTTTCAGTTAATGATTCCTTTTTAACATCTTGATGTATCATTTTTTTTTTTTATCCAGGACTTGGGATTCTTTTTATTGTTATAGCTGCCAGTCATGGTCCAATATTTTCAATTTTTTATCCAATTTTCTTCTTCACTTAACAATGTGGCATGAACCTTTTTCCCAGATTGCTATAAACTCATTATAAATATGATTTTAATGCTACATTAGAGTCTATTGTGTGAATGTTTTATAATTAACTTGGTTTCTTATTGTTGATTTTAAAGTGTTTATAACCTTTTGCTTTTATAAGTGCCGCTGCAAAAATAAACCATATTTCTGCAGCACTTCCTATATTTAGAATTGTTTTCTAGGATATCTAGTTGGCACCCCATACCCATGAGTTCCACATCTACAGATTCAATTGACTTTGGGCAGAAAATATTTTTTAAAAAGTTGTATCTGTACTGATCATGCACAGGCTAAACGATATGATCCAACAATTATTTACATGGCATTTACATTTTATTAGATATCATTAATAATCTAGACATGATATAAAGTCTACAAGAGGATTGCACACATTATATGCGAATACAGAGGCTTTTTTTTGGTACCAGGGATTGAACTTGGGACCTTGCGCTTGCGAGGCAGGCGGTGGCACCACTGAGCTAAATCCCTGGCCCCTAACAGAGGCATTTTTTTTTTGGTACTGAGAATTGAACTTAGGGCCTCGTGCTTGCCAGGCAGGCACTTTGCTGCTGAGCTACATCCCTGGCCCTACCGAGGCATTTTATATAAGGGATTTTAGCATCTCTGGGCTTTGGTGTCCACAGGGGTTTGAGACCTCTCCTCCATCCACACTAAAGGATGACTGTATACTTAAAATCCCCAAAAGTTATAAATACCTAAAGTCTCTTAAGGAATAGTGACACATGGGAGGCCACTGTATGATTTTCCATAACTACTCTATTTGTTTATTTTTGGCTTCCTGAGACAGAGTCTCCCGATGTATGCCAGGCACCTGTCCTGGTGCGAGAGGAAACTGGGAAAACCAGGTTGGCGAATAATTGTCAGAAAGAGTGGGGCTGCAGGCACACATTCCTTTAGACTGAAGTCCCATTCCTCCACGTGTGGGCCAGAGACACCGGCACAGGCATCTTCACTGCATCAGTGGTTGGCCTGGGAAAACCGGAAAACAACCTGAATGAGTGCCCAGAGTGTGGGTAAGGTGTAGCTGGGCCTACGGTGGAGCGTCTCACAGCAGTGGAGACTGCAGATCTCAACACAGGCAATCCTCAGGCCGTGCTGAATGACAAGGTACGAAGCATGGGCTAGGCTTGGCATGGTGCCACTCACAGGAGGTTTAGAAACAGGCACAACAATCCCAATATCACTAGGGGAGCCATGCACATGCAGTGAGATTACAGAGGTGTGAGGAAGGCATGCAAACCAAGTTCAGATGGTGGGGCTGCATGGGACCAGTGGCCCAGTGGCCCAGTGGTCACACACGCTGTTCAGTGTGTTTTCCTTGGCTCTTTTCAATGTATGAGATACTTCGTAATAAAAACAGGTGAGAGGAAAATCGAGAAGGAGTAAGGGAGGAGAACTTGGACAGAGCCGCCAGAGAAGGCCCATTTCCAGTGGGCAGCCATCATGCCTGAGGAGGCTGGCCAGCTGTGGCGAGATCCCTAAGGGGCTTAGCCCAGCTGGGGTCACTCCCCCAGGGACGACCCTGTGGTCATCAGGAAACCTGACATGGATCTGCCTTCCCAGAGTCCGTCCCTCCCTGTGGGACATCAGGACCATCCCTCACTGCAGTGGGCTGAATGTCTGAGCAGCCCTCAGACTCCTAGGTTGCAGCCCTGATCCCCATGTCATGGTATTTTGGGAGGTGTTGGGCATGATGGCAGGACCCTCATGAGCGTGGGTAGCGTCCTGGTAAGAAGAGCATGGGGAACTGGCTAGCTCTTCCTGCCATGTAAGGACACAGCCAGAAGCCTGCCATCTGCAGTGTAGAAGATGGACCTCGTCAGAACCCATCCACGCTGCTGCCTGCTCTTAGACCTCCAGCCTCCAGGGCCTGCTGTTGATAAGCCAGTGGGGTGCAGTGTTTCGTTACAGCAGCCTGAGTTGACTTCGAGCTCCTTTGCATTGCTGACCCAATACAGGAGCAGCCTGTGTGCCAGGCAGCTTGAGCTCCTCCCTGAGCCTGAGAACCCAGCATCTGAACTCGAGCTCTTGGTGCAGTAGATGGAAGGGCAGGGGCTTTGGAGTGGGACATCCAGGGTCACAACAGGCTCTGGTGACACTTGGTGGCATTAGAAGAGGAGGCTCGCTGTCCACAAGATGCTGGTTCAAGCCCCACCAGCCTCCTCCTGGCCACGCAGGTATTGGGTCATATAAGCTGCTTCGTCTGTCACCATGAGCATTACGCCTGGGGCCCAGCTGCAGTAGGGTCGCTCCTGCCTTCAGGCCCACAGCCTGGCCGCTGTTACAGCACCCCAGGGCCCCCACGTCTCTGGGGTTGAGCTCACAGTGACCCCCTAGGACTGGCTCTGCGAGAACAGAGGAAAGCCTTGATCGCACTCACACAGCTACTGTAGCATCTGGAGACATCTGCCAGCTTTAAAAACTCACTTCATTGCCTTTTCTTCTCTATTAGCCATGTCTTCTAAAAAGAAAGTCAATCCGTAAAGAAAACTATCAGTGGACCAATTGGGAAAATGTGAGCATCACACTTTCCGTTTACGTATATCACGCGACCAGCAGGGGGCGCCGCTGTCCCTTCCGGCTGAGCCTCCACCTGGGCGGCCAGGGCTTCGGAGGCGACATGCGAGGGGCGGCGCAGGATGCACGATTGTACCCCGGTGTAGGAGAGTCCTGTAGCTGTGTCACCGCTGCCAGGCTATTCTGGGTCCCTGTACTATGGAGAGGCAGGACAGTTCTCTGGCATGGGGCGGGGCGGAACTGACTCAGAGAGGAGCCTGGGCATGGGCGGAAGGGCACTTCCGCTGGGTCTCAGCGGGAATGAAAGGGACTTTAGCTCTTTTTCAGGGTGGGTGCAGTGTTTTAACCCCAAAACCAGAGGGAGATTCTGGCAGGCTGGCTTAGAGGCATCAACGACGTAAGCGCAAGCGGAAGGACAGTGCTGCTAATCGTCTGGAAGCAAAGCAAAGCAAAGCAAAGCAAACCACCCACTATAAGCCCTTCAGTGGCCTGCCGTGGTTCTAGAAGATCAAGCTCCTCCCTTTGGGCAATCTGTCCCTCCTCACCTGCCTCTGCCACTTCACCTCCTTCTCCTGGCCACCCTATCCTCTGCTGCCCCTCCCACCCACCCTGGCGGCTGCCCTGGTGCAGGGCCTTGGGGGTTGCAAACTCTCCCAAGCCCAGGACCTTTGCACATGCTGCCTCTGGAGGCACACACATGTTGGGCAAGGAGCAACTCTGGCTCATCCTTCAGGCGATGCCTTGATCCCCAGGTTCTGACCAGACGTATTAGTCACAGATCATCTGAGTCCCCTGCTCGATGCCTTCATTGACTCAGCTCTCGTCTTCACCAGTCGCTGCTTCCCTCTCCCTGGCATGGCTGCTGCCTTGCGTGCAGGCCCTGGCCCCTTCTCTCCCAGGGCAGGGCCTGGCTGCATGGGCACCTGGGCTGCACGCATGGCACGAGTCTCTCTCAGGGTGTGGAGAGGGCTGGGACACGGCGGTGCCTGGGATTGCTGTGCTGCTTTCTCTCACCTTGGAGGCCCTGACAGGGACCCGGGTCCAGCCCTCCACTCACCTTCTGGGCACATGAGGGCGGTGTGGGCCTGGCTGTGAAGAGGAGGCTGGCAGAGCCAACAGGAAGCAGGGCAGGGGTTCATGAGGTGCCTCCCTCCCGCAGCAGGGGAAGCGGAGCTCGGCCGGTCTCCCTGAGAGCAGCACCTGCTGCCTGGCATGTGTCAGTGGTCTCTGGGGGACCTCCCTTCCCGGAGATGGTGCTGGGCAGGCACTGCAAGGTGCTGGACCAGGGTTGGCAAGCAGTGCCTGGTGAGCCAAGAGTGGATTTGACATTGCCACGGGGTTGTAACACACGCGCACACACACACGCACACACAAGTGGAGAGAATACGCAGGAACTTTTGTGACCAGCCAAGTCCAAGATTTACCATCTAGCTCTTTGTGGAACTGCTTGCTGACCCCTGGTCTAGACTGTGAGAGGGGGGGCCTCCACTGGATGGCTTGCCCTTCCTCCTGCAGCAGAGTGGTATGGAAGGAAGTCAGTCTTGGAGCTAGGACAGCCATTTGGGACATGAACCCAACAGTTCCTCTATGAGGGACCAACCTACTGAGGATGGAGACAGCAGGCTGGGGCCTTGAGGACGTGGCTGAGCCTCTACAGGACCCTGGAGCATTGTAGGGTCATCATGACTGTCAACTTGACTCAATTAGTAAAGTCTGGGTGTGTCTGTGGGTGACTGACAGGCAGGCCAACAAACTGAGTGGAAAGACCCACCCAAGATGTGGGCTGCACCAGACAATAGGCTTGTAGCCTGGATGGAGTAAAAAGAGAAGAAGGAAGAGCTCTCATCCTCACCACTGCCTTAGGTCTTTGGTCTCCACCGCTTCAGTCTCCTGACAGATTTGCACCAGAGGCTGCAGTGAGCATCAGGCCTTGACCTTGCTACTGGATCCTCCTTCTCTCCGCTCGCAGATGGCCATTGTGGATTCTTCCACCTC